CCCCAAAACCCCAAAACCCCAAAACCCCAAAACCCCAAAACCCCAAATCTAATCTGAATATTGAAATAAAATAAATATGGAGGAAGAGAAAGATTCGAAGATGATCATTAATGAGCTTAAACCTGATCCAGAAGATGATCCAGAGAACCAAGACCAAGTGGTGTCTAAAAGTCCTGTTACTGGTGATGAAGGCATATTTCCGACTATTGTTAAGTCTAAAGAGGAAGAAGAGGAAGAGAATAGTGAAGAAGCCAGTGCAATCTTAAACTCTAAAAAGAGACTTGATGTTAATTCACTTGAGGAGTCAGAAGAAGGTGCTCAAGAAGAATCCAAGGCTTCCTTCTCTAAACTCTCCATTGATGTAACAGAAGAAGATAGTATCAGGGAGCATGCTTATAATTATTTCATCTTCACATTAGCAGGGAAGCCAATATTCTGTCGGTTTGGAGATGAATTTCATCTCAGCCCAATGTTTGCCACATTTTCAGCAATGATACCAAAAATCTTGAGTTTTTATTCAAATAATGAGTTTTATAAAGATAGAAACTTCTTGAGATGTATAAGGGGTAAGAAACTCAAATGAGTAGTATTGATTAAATCCCAAATCTGCTATGTTGCAATCACCAAGTATAAAGAAACTACCTCTTATCTCAGACAGCAGTTGGAATATCTGCATCTTCAGATGGTATCTCTAATCACTAATCAAATCTTAGAAAGTCTAAAAGAGAGACCTAATCTAGATATCAGAAATTCTGTAGCAGGATTGGAGAAGCCCCTACACATGATGAGTGAGATGGTCAAAAGATCTCCTGCTTGCTTCCTGAATGCATTCCCTGTTCTGACCCTTCACAGCTTATTAAGAAAGGATCTGTATCAACTAATCGAAGAAAACAAGCCTAATGACTTCTACTATGGTCTTCTCGTTACTTATACAACAGTATTAGGTGTGATAGAGAATAAAGAAGAGGATGCAATGATATGTGCCCCAGATATCAACCTGATTTTTAACTACATCCATTCTCTGTCCTCCTTCAGACATGAAGAAACTTGGACTCCCATTTGTATCCCTGGCATTACAGAAGAATTCTTACTCCATGTTTATGTTTATTTCTTAAACCCTCATTTTGGAGTTGTTTATATCAGCACTTCTGACCAAATAGATGTCTTTTATGAGTACTCTAAATCTGCTAAAGCTTTATTCAGTGAAGTTCAAGAGCTTAAAATCATCAACCATTTAGAAAACTGGAGTACTCGCTTGTATCAACCTATTGACATGAAAGAGATAACTTGAGCTATCATTCGGAATGACACTTTAGACCAATTTATTCACTACAACTTGCCTAAACCTCGCGACTACACACAGGAGCATGTCGAACTTTTAGCCAGATTTGAAGAGATGTACTCAAGATGCTGTTCATTCTCCAATAAGAAAACATTCTACCTCGTTGAAAAAGAAGAGTATGAGACCTATGTGATCCATCGTAATCACTCAGTGGGTAGTTTCAAATTCACTCTTCTACTTAGACTGAACGAGAGCATCACTGAGAAGCAGATTCACCAGATCTGTGATGATCTGCTGATTGATTTGAAGCAGCCTAAGAAGAGTTTATTTATCAATACTAAGAGTTAGTTCAATATTTCCAATTCGGCCAGGGGTTTTGGGGTTTTGGGGTTTTGGGGTTTTGGGG